AATGCGATCCACCATCACGGGAGTTTTGTATACAAAGGTTGAGTTTTAATCTCAGTTTGAAAGTGTTGTTATATTTAGCTTAGAAGATTATAATTTAATCATTGGAAAATGTTCAATCAGAAAGAAGTTATGACCACTAGATTTAATGGACATTTTAATTGTAAAGTTTTGTATTATATCTTCAGACACTGGGGCTTGTTGCACACCAATGCATGCTACATCTTATCAACAGTTACATCCTGCATCTTATTTATTTATTTATTTATTTTTTTTTTTTTTTTCTTTAAACTTTATAATATAGTAATATAATAATTTGTATTTAAAGCAAAATGCCATTGTGAAACACCCTGTCTCTTATACACATCTAGATGTGTATAAGAGACAGGTACTGTAACATTGTCGCATCGCCTCCATCAAGCAAAATACAAATACACTAGGCCTTAAAAAATATTGTTTGTTGTAGTGAAAAAAAACAAACTAAAATGCCGACCCTCAATTTTGTACAATTTGGGATGGTCGGGCATGGCCAGCACAATCATTTTTTTTTTTTATTTGATGTTACTGGGATCCCGCTATAAACGAAAAATATATAAATACCGGTAATATATTATACATACTTGTTCATTACTCCAGCCCTGGTAGAACATATCACCATGTATACAACCAGTGGTCTTCACCACCATTGGAAGAGATGCTTCCCGCTTAGCCAACTCATTTGCTGTATAACTCCTGTGTGACCAAGACACTCTTGGTAGATCTCCTAGTATGTTCTCCATAAGTCAAATTGTATGTCATCAAAGCATTTTATTGATTCTCGTCTGGCTGCATGTTTAACTGTGACACCACAAATATTTTGTTTTGTACACTTTTACAAATCTTTTCTTGCTTATTTTAGTCATATATGGTATGTAGGAAAGGTAAATAAAAATACCTTAAAAAGTCGCTCAGGCATGTGGAACTTATTTAAAATTTTGTATGCTCTGGAACAAGGCCAACCAATGATGTCCTACCACTTTTTGTACTACATGGCCTATTCAAGTGTGGTTATATTCAGTATGTTCGCCATTACCGTATGACAATATGTATTGTCAAAGCATTTTATTAATTCACTTCAGACTTCATGTTTACCTTAAGATAATTTTGTGTACTCTTTCAAAGATCTGCTTGTTTTTGTTCCGGAAATGTACTGAAACCCACACATACCAATATATGTGTTTGAGGAATGTATTTATTCACAATTGTTTATGTATGCTTAGATACAAAGCCAAATAGTAATTTCACCTGAATTATGCAATTATAAATGAGTGGCCTACTTGTATTCACAAAATTCTCAGCTCTTTATTGTTTATAATTGTTAGAAAACAATTCTAGACTTCACCAGTGTTAGAAAAGCAAGGTCATGCTGTGTGTAGTTGAACTACTCTGAATATCTTAGTTTTTTGATTAATAATAAATATGTAGGTGATAAAATTAAATCAATAATTTGTTTAAAGAACCTGAGAGTTTTGAGTTATGCAAATATTTATCATGCATAAGGTCATCAAAGTATTTTGGTGATTTTATACGCACAATAGAGATCATGTAATACTACATCACGTGTAACCACTATGAGATCTTTGGCTACCTGAGCATATGTTAGAGTTATGTCCAGTAGTTATTAATCAAGTATATGCCAAAATAAATATTAAAATGTCTGCATTTATGTATTTTAGAGCAAGAAATATATATTCATTCCAAACAGCCAAGCAGCTTTACGGTCCATTTCGAAGGAGAGCCACAGATGATTTGCTCTTGCTTGCTGGAAAACAGCCTAACTGCTGAACAGTACTATTCTCTTTGCTTAGAAATGGTAGTACTGTATAGGCAAGGGCATACAGTAACTGCAGCACTGGTAAAGGTCTATTTTGTAACTTTTTAATTGTTACAAAGTGAATAAAGATTCTGGAATGTACTTACTTTCAAAATAATAGTATAATAGGAAAGTCCCACATTCCATTATTAGTCACTGAAAGGTGTATAATTTATTCACCATTTTGAAGGCTCTGACACAAGGCCAACCCATAGTTAGAACCAAAGCCCTTTTTTGCGAACTCTTTAGTTGTTATGAAATGAATGAAGATGTCATTAAAAATAAAAAATAAAAATATATTCAGCCCAAAGAGGGTAATAAATTAAATTGTTGAATTCCATAGTGCCACAAATATATCCATAGTGCCTGAGTGTCAACTACAATCAGGTCACCATTTGCTCTAGAAGTTAAAATTCAAGTTAGGTAGCTTTTACATAAATGAATGCGCCAAATGCGATCCACCATCACGGGAGTTTTGTATACAAAGGTTGAGTTTTAATCTCAGTTTGAAAGTGTTGTTATATTTAGCTTAGAAGATTATAATTTAATCATTGGAAAATGTTCAATCAGAAAGAAGTTATGACCACTAGATTTAATGGACATTTTAATTGTAAAGTTTTGTATTATATCTTCAGACACTGGGGCTTGTTGCACACCAATGCATGCTACATCTTATCAACAGTTACATCCTGCATCTTATTTATTTATTTATTTATTTTTTTTTTTTTTTTCTTTAAACTTTATAATATAGTAATATAATAATTTGTATTTAAAGCAAAATGCCATTGTGAAACACCAGTATGGTGATACTGTACTGTACAGGTATTTAACAATATTAAATTATAATATTATTAAATATATTCCGGGGGAATGCGTTTTTTTTCCCCTTTTAAAAAAAAATTGTTTACCTCCCAAAAGGGGGGGCCGGGACCGATCATCAACCTACTATTAAAACATTCCGGATCGAGAACCGGGGCGAAAATTGCCTAGGTTAGGTCCAGGCCAGCCCAATTAATTAGCCACATTATTCCTATTTGAACCCTGCTTCGCTCAAAACAATAACAAACTATTTATTTTTTCAGTCCTCGAGATCACGTGAGTTAAGCAAACTCACTTCACGGCGCCTGGTTGCCAGTAGGCTAGAGCAGTTATAGAAAGCATGATCCGCTATGTAGTGTTATGTTTTAGAATAAAAACTTGTGAAATTAATGTGTGCTTTAAAAACACAGATTTACAGATTTAAGTTGTAATACTTTTGTTGAATGTAATTTAACTGTAGCAGGCGTCTGTCTATAACGTAAGCCTCCCAGCAACCAGACGTCGTACAGAGTGTTTCAACAGGTTATGTGTGTTTTGTGACAATGTTTTGTGTCGATGACAGTTTTTCAAACACAGTTTATGAATGAACGTACAATAATACGAAAATAATAATTATCATTACTTCAATGCTCTTGAATAGATTGTATTTTTTGTTTTTCTGTTCAGCGCATAGAGACCATATATTATGCGCTATATAAGCTGTCTCTTATACACATCTAGATGTGTATAAGAGACAGGTACTGTACAGGTATTTAACAATATTAAATGTTTATTATTATTATTATTATTATTATTATTATTATTATTATTATTAATTTTTTTTTTTTTTTTTTTTTAATTATTGCTTAAGCATGGACGTATTTTTAATGGTATCTTCATGGTAAGGAATGCAAATCTGCTTCAGCTTTTCTCAATCTTTTGGTCAGCTTCTTCCTATGAAATCATGTTTGCATACAATATTTTACTGCAGCAACTAAGATTTAATTACAGAACCAAAGGATCCAAAATGAGTTAAAATTAAGTCAAATTTAAAAGCAATTCATGAATAATTCTATACCAGACATCATTTGTTATTATTCTTAGGCCCACAGTTTACAGGGGTGGATCCAGAGATGTTCAAAAAGGGGGGGCCCCCTTAAATTTGGGCCTATCGAGACAACACTGTCTTAGGGGTCCGGGGGAATGCGTTTTTTTTCCCTTTTAAAAAAAATTTTTTTACCTCCCAAAAGGGGGGCCGGGACCGATCATCAACCCTCTATTTAAACATTCCGGGTCGAGAACCGGGTCGAAAATTGCCTAGGTTAGGTCCAGGCCAGCCCAATTAATTAGCCACATTATTCCTATTTGAATCCCGCTTCGCTCAAAACAATAACAAACTATTTATTCTTTCAGTCCTCGAGATCACGCTAGTTAAGCAAACTCACTTCACGGCGCCTGGTTGCCAGTAGGCTAGAGCAGTTATAGAAAGCATGATCTGCTATGTAGTGTTATGTTTTAGAATAAAAACTTGTGAAATTAATAGATAGATAGATAGAAATCTTTCTTTATTCTGGATACTCAGTCAGTATTAGTACACTGTTCTTCCCTGAGGTCCAGGGTATGATCTTAAACTACTTTAAATTAAAAACAGAATTGATAAAGAAATATATAAGTTACATAAATATAAGAAGCAGAAAAAAGATTGGTAAATTAAATTAGATTTTTAAAGGATTGTAGGGAAATAGAATGAATATTACTGCGGATATCTGATAATAAATTGTTCCATAAATTAACGGATCGGTATTTAAATGTTCTTTTTCCAAAATCATTCTGCCATTTTGGTGAGATCAAAGTGTTTTTTGATTTGCTTCTTGTATTTATGTTATGATATTCATCGATTAATTCGTAAAAATGTGTTAAATTAATGTGTGCTTTAAAGACACAGATTTACTTGAAGTTGTAATACTTTTGTTGAATGTAATTTAACTGTAGCAGGCGTCTGTCTATAACGTAAGCCTCCCAGCAACCAGACGTCGTACAGAGTGTTTCAACAGGTTATGTGTGTTTTGTGACAATGTTTTGTGTCGATGACAGTTTTTCAAACACTGTTTATGAATGAACGTACAATAATACGAAAATAATAATAATCATTGCTTGAATGCTCTTGAATAGATTGTATTTTTTGTTTTTCTGTTCAGCGCATAGAGACCATATATTATGCGCTATATAAGTCTCCAACCATTACCATTACCATTACCAATTTTGTAGGAAAAGTAGGAATCCTAGTACAGCACTGTAGTGAGTATAATTTTAAAAATTGGTCAGCAAACCTAGCTAGACTAATAAAATTGGGTTAGCCTATTGGTCTAACTTATTTACGATTTTCCCCCCTGGTAGTGATCTGGAATTTTTAAGAGTAGGTATGACCGATGCATGGGCCGCATCAGATCCAAAATTTTGGGTTGAAATCGCGTCTAAAATATGCGGCCTATACAGGAATGTACGGGTACCTATAAAAATAGGCCTGCTTAGTAATTTTGCGGATTGATATTGGAACAAGATTTTGTTAATTCATGGACCAATATATATTGCTGTTTATTCCACCACGGGCGGTCCGCTTAATAGCGTGTCCTGCTGAGTTAATCCCCAATGCCTTTGAACAAATGATTAGCTGATCACGTGCAACCCAAATTTTTGCCCCAAAAATCGGGTTGCCTTTCTGGGGATATGTACACATAATGGTTATATTTATAATAATACAAATTATTATCTTTTTTGGTACATTTATAATAGAATTATTAGGTTTTAACAATAATTTAAATCAAAAGTTTAATCAGATGCCATTAGTACATATTTTGTACTAGTTAGGTATCAATCAATTGATCATTATCAAACAGTAATTTTAATTTGTATATAGAAAATAATTGTTTAAACAGAGTTGGTTATTGCAAACACCTCGGTGTTTATATCGATGAAAATTTATCATGGAATAAGCAAACTGATAATGTAAAAACTAAATTTCTGCCAGGTTTGTACTATTTGAAAAAGACTTCTAAATTTCTATCAAATGATCAACAATCTCTTATGTACAAAACCATTATTGCTCCTCATTTTGAATACTGTAACCTAGTCTGGGGTAGATCTACTCAAATTCAAAAAAACAAATTACAAGTCTTACAATATAGAGCGGCAAAAATAATTCTGAAAAAAAGAAAAGATGATTCAAGTACACAAGCTTTGCAGACCTTAAATTGGGAAAATTTAGAAAACAAATTGTATAAAAATGAAGCAATAACCATGTATAAGATTTTTCATAACATGGCTCCCTCTTATTTGACCAAACGTTTTACATTTAAGGAACAAAATTATTTAACCAGATTAAATGATGTCTTAAAAGTTGATTGTCCTCACACGGAATACAAAAAGAAAAGTTTATCTTACCGTGGTGCTATTCTCTGGAACGCACTGGATGAACATGTTAGAAATTCTTCAAGTGTTAAAATATTTAAAACACTTTTGTAAAATTTTTGGGCTTTGCTTCATTTTTTGTATCTGGTATTTGTATATAATTTTATCTTTTTTTTGTGATTATGTGTTTTATTTTATACTGTTATTTTGCAACTTCAATGACAACACGGCCTTGTAGAATAACACCCTCTGGGTGAAACAAGCTTTCCGTGTAAAAATAAAGTTTTAATAATAATAATAATAATTATTATTATTAACACTTTGACTGCCAGGATATTTTAGTGATAGCAATGCTCTCTGTCAGACATTTTAGCCAATTTGAGCAATTTCCAGTTGACATTGAGAACACATGTATATACAAATATGGAATGTTCTTCACACCAAATAAAGATTAATTCATGAGCTTTAAAATGATATCATACCTGTACATTTTATTCATACAATAAACTATTGCCACACAAATTTGAATGGAAAACTTAACTTTTTACAATTTCACACTTTTCAGGCAATAAAGCTAAGAAAACAGCATTTTAGTTTCGCTAAACTCCTAAACACTAAAAACCAACAACTAAACGCAATAATCCGACTCTTTTTTTCTTTAGTATATTAGTTATTTATACGTACATGAATCCATCATAATGAAAATCCCACACATAGATGAGGTCCACTGAGCCCTGAGTTAGGGTTGATTCGAAGATAGTGGCTAGGCCTACTAGTACAGACGTGTCACTCATGCTACATATTAGGTCTAGGGGCCTAGGCTAGGCCTGCTGACTTCTCTACTGCCGTCTGTACTTTTATATATTTCTGTAAATCTGTACTCAATATATTACATAAAATATTGTATCCGCAAATATTTTTGCAAATATTTGATCTGTTGAAAACTTCTGACGACTGCGATCCATGCTCTTCGCATTACTCTCATTATTCGCGGAAGTTCAAGCACCTCAAGCAAACACGCTAAGCATGTCTGTGGGGAGGAGGTTTCAAATTGAGAAAAATGTACGGCCCAACACAAATTTATTACTGAAGTTTCTACCACAGGTCCACAACTTCCATATCTATTGAATTGTACAGTAATTCAAAAGACGGAGATTTCCATCTTTGGCAGCCAAACGTTGTGAAAAGATGAAGATCCCCGTCTTTGGCAGTCAGTGGTAAAGATAAAAATAAAAAAATAACCCATAAATTGCATCGTCATTCTCATTCACCTTATTCCACAACACACAAGGGGCTGAAATGTACCATAGTATCAGGGTAGCCCCCCCCCCACCCATCCGAAAGATGCATATGTGGCAAAGACAAGCCAAATCAGTCACTCGTCGGAAAAATTAATTTTTAGTTATTAATACAGGGTTTAATAGTAAAATGAGAGCTATAAAATGGTAAAAGAATCATTTAAATCCAACACTTCGTTATGAAGTTACACGAGTTTAAACATACAGCAGTTTAAGAACAATATTTGAGAAATCAGCCAGTTTACGATTTCAGGCATTTCTTAGGCAGAAACCATTACCAAATCGTTAAAAAATGTTGTTTTAACATTGAAAATGAGGAAAATAACAGCATAGCATGATGTATAGATATATAAAGGTTAGTTTAGTGCAATAAAATAGATTTCCAAAATTTTGACATTCCAGCATGTTTTGGCCATTATCTCCAAAACAGGATTTGCGACGAGTGACGAGACGAGTTTTAAGTCCTGAGAAGACTTAGTTTTATCAAGCAAACCTTGTAGCAGTTTTTCTTTTATGCCACTCTACAACATGACTTGCCACTCATTATTTTTATTATTTTTATTAATTATTGATTTGTTAGATTAATGAAGATCAGGTTTAATTCTGTATTTATTTTTTTTCAAATTCGTATGTGCAGATCAACAGATAGGCCTAATTCTTTTCATCCTTTTCTTCATCCACTGTTGTCATCTGTTGCTTGTCATGCATTTGCTTCTGTTTTCATTGGAACTGAATAATCCATACCAGCCTCTGAGCTGCTTTGTTTCCCAACGAGTCTTTAGTCACAGAAGGTTTCTTTACTGTCATTAGTCACACAGGTTCACTGTGGGTAGAGAATGTCCTTTACACTTCCTTCCTATGAGTGGATGTACTCATTATCTTTGAATAAAGCATAGGAATGTGTATTGGATGTGTAGGAATGTTGAATTGAATTCAAACCTCCAATTACAACTGCCTTTCTGTTTTTACGGTCTGTTTTTCTAGAAACAATTGGTTTTAATTTCTTACTTTGAGATTTTAGGTCATCTGCTGAGATAAATGGTAGTTTTGGCAGAAATTTCATAACATCATTTGCAGTTTGCTTATATATATTCCTTTGATCTTGGACACTTTCTTGACCAGCATTTTGATCCTCTGATACCTGTACAAACGGAATTGGTTTGTCTCTATAATGATCCTTTTGCATTTGCTCTTGGCTGTTTTCTGCTAGACATTCTGTCCTTTTGATTTTTTTCACTTTGTTTTTTTTTGGAAAGTGAAGACTTTCGTGTTTCTTCTTTGCATCTTCTTTTTCTTTCCTTGAAATGAAATAATCTTTATCATGTACTGAAATGGGAGCTGTCTTTTTCTTTCTGTTTGCATCCTTGTGTATTAGAATTATGAACTCACTTTCTTCTGAAAGTAAAGCTTTGTCCATTTTCATCATTCCTGTTTCATTCTGAATAGGATCTGGATACTCATATTCATCATCTTCTTCATCCTCTGTTATCTGTTTCTTGTCATTTGCATTTGCTGCTTGTGTCACCGGAACTAAATAACCCTCATTATCTTCTGAAGCTGCCGGTTTTATCACATTTGCTTCTTCATTCATTGTAACTAAATAATTCATTTCTTTCAAATGCACCTGTTTCTTCATACTTTCTTCTTGTTTCATTGGAATTTCTTGCTCAATAGGATCTGGATACTCATATTTATCATCTTCTTCATCATCGTCTGTTATCTGTTTCTTGTCATTTGCATTTGCTGCTTGTTTCACCGGAACTAAATAACCCTCATTATCTTGTGAAGCTGTCAGTTTTTTCACATTTGCTTCTTCATTCATTGCAACTAAATAATTCATTTCTTTCAAATTCACCTGTTTCTAAATAACCCTCATTATCTTCTGAAGCTGCCGGTTTTATCACATTTGCTTCTTCATTCATTGTAACTAAATAATTCATTTCTTTCAAATGCACCTGTTTCTTCATACTTTCTTCTTGTTTCATTGGAATTTCTTGCTCAATAGGATCTGGATACTCATATTTATCATCTTCTTCATCATCATCTGTTATCTGTTTCTTGTCATTTGCATTTGCTGCTTGTTTCACCGGAACTAAATAACCCTCATTATCTTCTGAAGTTGTCGGTTTTATCACATTTGCTTCTTCATTCATTGCAACTAAATAATCCATTTCTTTCAAATTCACCTGTTTAACCATATTTTCTTCTTGTTTCATTGGAATTTCTTGCTCAATAGGATCTGGATACTCATATTTATCATCTTCTTCATCATCATCTGTTATCTGTTTCTTGTCATTTGCATTTGCTGCTTGTTTCACCGGAACTAAATAACCCTCATTATCTTCTAAAGTTTCCAGTTTTATCACATTTGCTTCTTCATTCATCGGAACTAAATAATCCATTTCTTTCAAATTCACCTGTTTCTCCATATTTTTTCCTTGTTTCATTGGAATTAAAAACTCTCTATCATCTTCTAAATGCGAAGCCTTAACCCTTCTCTTTATTCTTGTTTCATGCTTGATAGGAACTAGATAATCATCCTTTTGATCATGCACTGTAGTCACATGTTTCTTGTCATTCCCATTTTCTCCATGTTTCATTGGAACTAAATACTCCTTATCATCTTCTGATTGTGAAACCTTGTCCATTGTCTTCATTCTTGTTTTAGGTGTAAGAGGAATTAGATAACCATGTTTATCCTCTTTTCCATCCACTATCATCTTTTTCTTTGCTCCTTGTTTCATTCCAGTTAAGCTGTAATTTTCCTCTGAAGTCACCAGATTCTTCATATTTGCTTGTTTCATTGGAACTGAATACTCCTTATCATCTTCTGATGGTGAAACTCTGTTCTTTCCATCTTTGCATGTATCATCTGGTTTTTGTATTGCTTCCTCTAATGATAATAGATCATAAAGAGAATTTACATTCGTCATTTCATAGCCTTCATCAAACAAAGTCAGATTGTGGTAACTCCTGGTTTTCATCTGACTTTTTCCTGGTTTTGTATGGTTTGGCTTTTTTTTCTTTTTCTGTAACTTGTCATTTATATTCTTATCTGTACAGTTTGACTTTTTTTTCTTTTTTTGTAACTTCTTGTGTTTCTCTGTCGAGCCTTTTAGTGTGGACTTGTGATGGGAACTATCATTGTTTTCATAACTGTCATCAAATTGTGGATAATCATATTCTTCCGATGAGAGACCTAACGAAGTCAAGTTCTGATAACTGCTGGTTGCCATCTGACTTTTATTTACTGCATTTTCTTCTTTTCCATCCATTGATAAAAACGGATTATTCTTATCTTCACTGCATTTATGAACTGGTTTTTGTTTTGTATTCTTTAAAGAGAACACATCATCTTGAATGTTTTCATAACCTTCATAAAATTCTGGATATTCATATTCATCTGATGAGAGACCTAACAAAGTCGAGTTCTGATAACTGTTGGTTGACATTTGACCTTTATCAGTATTAGTGTAGTGTGGATTTTTTTTCTGTTTCTGTAACTTCTTGCGCTTCTCTGTTGAGCCTGTTGATGTCGACTCATAATTTGGACTCTCGTTTGTATTCATATCAGTATTTAAGTTTGTCTTTTCCTTCTTTTTATGTAACTTCTTGTGTTTCTCTTTTGAGCCTTTTAGTGTGGACCTGTCATGGTCAGAACTGTCATTCATATTCATATCAGAGTATAGGTTTGTGTTTTCTTTATTTTTCAGTAACTTTTTGTGTTTCCCTGTTGAGCCTTTTAGTATGGAATTGTCATAGGAACTATTAATTATATTTACTGGGAGATTATTAGCAGTGCTAACTTCTGCATTTTCTACTTTTCTGTGCATTGATAAAAACTGGTGATGCTTATCCTCATTGCATTTCTGATATGTTTTTTGTTTTGCATTGTCTAATAATAAAAGATCATCTTCCATGTTTTCATAATCGTCATCAAATTGTGGATAATCATATTCTTCCGATGAGAGACCTAACGAAGTCAAGTTCTGATAACTGCTGGTTGCCATCTGACTTTTATCCATATTAGTGTAGTGTGGATTTTTTTCCTCTTTCTGTAACTTCTTGCAGTTCTCTGATGAGCCTTTTAGTGTGGACAGGTCATGAAGGAGACTGTCATTTATATTCGTATCAGTATAAATGTTTGCCTCTTCTTTCTTTTTCTGTAAATTCTTGTGCTTCTCTTTTGAGCCTTTTAGTGTGGCATTTTCTTGAAGACTAATAGCAGTGCTGATTTCTGCAAGCATGTCAATATAATTTGGTTGAGCATTGATTATGAAGTCTAGAAACAGATGAAAAGTAATTGTAATATATATGAGTATTTGTTTAATTAATATGTGTTTCTGTACTTTTTTGAAAATGTAATACTTAAGACCTAATAATTTACGCTAAGCAACAAGTTTGTTGGGATTATTACTATCCCAGACCAGAAGTCTAACATATTATTCCATATCCAAAATGTAATTAACAGATCTCAATGTTCTAAAAGTTCAAGATTGAATGAAATGGAGTTTTTACTTTAAAAATCTGTTCTGAAAAAAAATATATATATAACCTGTGTTGCCTTGGTAACTGTCCAGTTGGTGCTGATGAGTACTGATGACCAAGTCAGTTACACAACTTTCAAATTTGAAGAAATCTTCAATGGTTTCATCTCGAAGGTCAAGAGCAATGTAGAATTGCATTTCACAGCAGTCAACTGGGATGCTCTCCATGCAGCTGCCAACTTCACCTGGACCATAGAGGGAGCACTTCATTTTGTTTGTTTTACCAAGTATACAATATAAATATTAAGCTAAGCAACAATGTATGTTTTGATTACTAGGCTAGACTATATGTAAGATGTAATTAGTGTATGATAAATCCATCAAACAATTAATATACATTTTTTAAATTTATTTTATATATAATAATCTAGTAAATTGATCAGTAAAACAGTGTAAGTATAGAACAAATACAGAATATCACCAAAAAAGGTGTTTCCTCACCATTTAATGAACAGAGTTCACTGTTGGAGGCACCACCACGCCACAACCCTTGTTTATTAGCTGAACAAGCTTTTGATGAATAACAACAACAAAATTTAATAATAGAAAATAAAAATGTACTCTTTGTATAGACCTTTAAATTGGATGGGCTTTTTTTCTTTTACAGTAATATTTTATTGGAATTTAAAATTTTTTTATTATAAATAAAAGACGACAGAAACAACAAACATGACTGGTAACCTTTTCATACTGCATTTCCTGTTGATTTATTTGCACATTATCATTGGGCCATTGTTAAAGAATTTTTATTAGGATGAAATAATATCAATCGTAACAATATTTAACTGGCATTGGATTGGCAATAAAGGTCGATAGACCATAAACATAAAACATGTATAATACACAGTTTGGTCCCTATATGTACATACTTACTTTTTGACAAACTTACTCCTATTAAATACTTCATCCAACCTCTTCGTTTGACATTCAGAATGATTTCATCTTCCTCCGTCAAGCACATCAATTGGGAGAAGTCATGCTTGGAACGGCGCAGGTCGATCTTGATATATTGTGGTAGTTTCATGTCTTCCTTGAGGATCACCTTGTTATCTGCAAAATAAATATTAAAACAATAGAAGACTACAGTTAAAGAATAGAAGAATTAAATAGTAAAAACGTAGTAACCTACATTATGATAATTGCCAAATTTTTAAAAGCAGAAGTAACCATTTCAATGCTCTTGCCATATATATGTGCTTATTTGCATGTGTTCTTGTCTTAGCTGTTTGTAAGCAAAAATAAAAATAAGATTTTGTTTTTGGCCAATCAGCGCATCTGTCAATGCAAAATATGGAAATTGCAGGGGTGAAAAAGTTTTGATTTATATTTTGCCAACCGCTGCATTGAAATTTCCAAAAATAAGATATGTATATTTCTTACTAATTATATAAATTTGAAGCATTTAACCACCACCTATACTATATAAATTCACCAATAACATTTTTTTTTTCTCTTCCGTCTGGATGTTTTTGGCAAAGTCGAATGGCCGAGCGGTAAGTAGGGCGCCCCAAGCTATAGCCATAATATCGGCGCTGGTTCGAACAGCACGCTCGCCTATGGTACTGGTGGTAGAACAAGTCTTCTCGGATAAGGACTATAAACCATAGGTCCAGTGTGTACAATGGCTCGTGTGTACTATAAATAACCCAGTACATCCATCGAGACGAGTAGGGGATACCCCGGTGTACTGGAACAGACAACCCCTGTGGTAGACGATGAGAGTTGCTGGTACCGGGTTACCGGTTAGCACAGACAGGAAGAGACCCTTAGGGGCGAAGAAAGTCATTGATCGAGTTCCTAGTCCACACATCAAGCGCCTTGAGCATCTTACATTAGATGGATATGTGCGCTATGTAAAACTACACTATTATTATTATTATTAAAACTGCTAAATGAAAAACCATTCTTTTTCCCGCCCTCTGACACTCTTTAAAAAATTAAGTTCGCGAAACTATGTATAAAAAAAGTCTCGCCTTATATACGTGGTTATAAACTAGAAAAGTGAATTTTTTTGTATTTCATGGGTACTAATACAATTAAATTCGAAAATCGAACCTCTTGAGCCAGGTTCCAAAAAGGTGACTGGACTGTTGATTGGAATACTGATTTCATTCTGTTTGACATCCCATGCAAGAAATCGAAATTGTTCTTTAATACCATGCAAGTACAAAACCTAGAAAAAGAAAAACATTAATTTTTGTGTATTTATTTTTGTATATATATATATA